TGGAATTAAATGTTCTGCTTCCCCCTGGAATTCAGCTAATAGCACCATATGGGATTTGGCAAGGGGTCAGGTTAACCCACATTTTAATACTGTAATTGGGTTTAAACGTTCTTAGACACTAATTAGACCAGTAAATGTCCCCCTAATTTGTGTATAAACTCAAATCCTGTTTGATTCCCAGCTATTCTCTTCTTCCCTTCCCAGAAACCCTCACAATTAAAGGATGTTGGTTCTAAAATGAAACTGGAAGGACTCACAGAGCTCTCAGACCCAAAGTTCCTGAATTTCAGCTGAGTGTGAATAAACTGTTTTTCCACATCTGGGTCAGAGTGATCACAGATTATTTCTGATCCCTCAAACCTCCCAAATTAAAGGATTTCACATTAATCATGGGCTAAGAGTAACAACCAGGAAAATTTACTGTAGGATCACCTGGCAAAGAGCAAAATACCAAACCTTGCAGTACATCTGACACCTTTGTCTAATACCTGAAGGAACTTTAATACCTAAAACTTCATTTTCAGTGTATATTCTATATAAGAATTGAAAATTTTATCTTTCTAAAAGTTCATTTCTAGTGTTTTAAGCCTCACAGGCCCATTTTAAACACCACCATCACAACCCAAAACACCCAAGCCACACATTTTGCATCCGTTTCTCAGACTCTGCTCAGCTCTCACTTGAGTCACTGGATTGTTATAAATGATATTTCTTGTCATAAATGATATTTCTTTCATTCCCTTAAAAAAAAATTGGACTTGGGAGAACGAGCCCACAGTTCAAATCTTGGTCAGTTTGCAAAGTTTTCTAGATAAGTTCCACCCCATCCACGCAGGAATTATTGAACTCTCCAAGACACAGATGAACTGCTGGTATTAAATTGTTATTTTACTTCCATGCCTGACCTTGCACTCTCCCCCTAATGCTGTCTGGAAGTCAGACATTGCTTCTCAATTTATCAAATCCCAACACCAAATTACTAAACACTTGGCTCCCCAATATCTTAGTGCAACAATAATGGAATGTGAAATTCCAATGCAAACATTGCTGGACACATCCAAGATGCCACTTCTTAGTCCTGTGGGAATTTTAAATATATAAAAATCACAGCCACTATTTTCAATATAAGCTTGTATTGACCATAAATGTAACGGATCACAAAAGTTCATTTAACTCCCAGCAGGGAAACAAGAAATCCATGTTCCTGTGTGGGTAAAATAAAAACCTGTAAACCTCCAGAGGATGAGGCTGACAAGTTTTGTGACAAATTAGGAGACTTTGGAAAGCATTGTCATGGTTTTCAGGGAAACAAGCATGTCAAATTTGGATTCGGGTTTTTTTTCATACCAAAGCCAAAGAAATTAAAATAAGCAGGATAAGGAAAGAGGGGCTGACAGATAATCAAATAATTCTTTTATTTCATTAGTTCTGTTTCATAAATTGAATTTTTGAATGCAAGTCAGAACTGCAGTTTTCAGATAAACATGTCTACTGCACCTCAGGAAGAACTTTAGGGGTTTCATCCGTCCACTTACATATTTCAAGCCCCAACAATTCCTCCAGGCTGAAATGCTGCTCATTGCTGGCATTAAGGTGATGGACACCAATTTCCTTCAGGTCAGAAAACCATTCAAAATATGTTTCACACATTCAGCTTGAAAACAGAGTGAGTGCATTCACACATTAATGCAAGTGTAAGAAAGCCCTTTATCCCTTTATCAGCAGAACTGAAAACAGAGGCCCCAAAAGGCCTGGAAAGTAACACCTTTGTGGCCCAGCAAATGTAATTATCACTTCAAGTTCTGACTCCCTCACTCAAAATTCCACTTTGCCAGAATTTATCAAAAATTCCAAAATTTGGCTTCTATTTCTGTGCTCTTTAAAAACCTTGGGATTTAAACAGGCTTTTTAAATACATAAAAAGGGGTAAAATTCTCCAAACTCATGAAGTTTTAATGAAGATCTTACATCGTGTAAATATTGACTTTGTTCCCCAGTTGTGAGTGTAACCAGAGAGAACATTGTGAAAACAGAGCCCAGACAATTGTGCCATTTTCCTTCAGCCCCTTCCTCCCCAGTCCTTGAGGAAAAACCCCATTACACAGGACTCTCACTGGGGGAAGCTCCAGACAGGACACCTGAACTGGGAATTTAAATAAACCTGTGCTCCCAGTTGAGTGATGACAGAAAGGAAAAGGTTGTGAATTTATTGATCCCAAAGGATCCATCCAAAGCAATGACAAAAGTCCATTTGTGCTTTTGTTCCAAACTTCAATTTTTGCACTAAAAACGCCGCTGGGTGAGGCCCCAGGAAAGGCTCTGACCTAAGACAGGATAAATAAACCTGGATTGCTTAGAGAGTGGCAGGAATTTCTGAAAACCTGATGAACTCCAAAGCTTCTCCAAATAAAATCTTTATAATACCTTCTGATTAACACCCCAAATTGCTGACTCAATTATCTGGAGCACTCCACTCCCTCTCACCCCCAAAATATGTCCCTGAGTTGTCTCCAGGGTTGAATCTGCTTCCAGGGAAATATTATTTCAGGCCTTGAGTTGAGTGTGTGAGCTCAGGCTCACAGCAGGCTGAGTAATGTACCTGCAACTTGAAAATAAACCTTACATCTTGCAGGATCCTCTGCTCCTCAAGCCATGCTTTGTTTCAAACTGGCTAATTCAAATAAATAAAGTAAAATATTCCTGAAAACTGAGGGTCCTCAGGTATTTCCAGGAAGGGACAATTAGCTCTTAACTTCAGTCTTTAAAGGTAATAAGAATCTTGAAGGTTTACAATCTTAATTTATTCATCACTGAATGAAATAAAAGGAAAGAAAAATTAGCCATAAATTAAACTTGGAAAGTGGTTTAAATCACCTAATGAGTTAATAGTATCAACTGCAGTGAACACAGAAAAGAGGTGAACAATATCCACCAGAGACTGAACCACTCAGTGATAAGGACTGAGGAATTACTATTCTTTCTAAAAGTCTGGATTAGCAGAGGAGGATAGTTTACTATAATCTATAAAAATGCTTCTGATAAAAATGCAATTAGGTTGGTAAAGGGGTTTGTAACTCACAGAAAAAAGAAATACATAAAAAATTAAAAAATAGAATTCTGGGCATTTTAGGGTTTATACCAATACCTTTATTATATTTCTTTAGGTTTGATTGCTTTCCTAAAGGTTTTATGCAGGGAAAGAGAAACCGTGGCTGCTCCATCCCTGGAAGTGTCCAAGGCCAGGTTGGACAGGGCTTGGAACAACCTGGGATAATGGAAGGTGTCTTGGAAGTGAAAGGGGGTGGAACTGGATGAGCTTTAAGGTCCCTTCCAACCCAAACCATTCCATGGCTCTGTGAACACACTGACTGTCAGTGGAAGCTGCACTGCCTTCAGTGCTGGAAGGGGAAGAGGGAAGAATACAGAGAGCTGATAAACCAGACCAGGCTTTAATTGCTAATAATCAACAAGTGATAAAGGTTTTTATGAATGAGACACAGGGAATTCAGGGAAACATTCTGTCCCTGTGAAACTGGAGTGTCATCAGTGCCAAGTTAAACACATCCAGCCCTGTTTTCTTTTGAGCCACAGAGGCCACAGCCCGCTCCGGAACAAAAAGCCCTCAGTGCTTTACTGGCACCACAGGTTTGATAATGTGCAACTTCAGACCAACACCAACAAATATTTGGGGCAGAGAATCTCAGAGCCTTCAAGAATTCTATCTAAATTTACTTTCAGACTGTCTGAGAAGCTGTCAGCAAAAATTGGTAGGCCCAGAGCAAAAGATTAAATGCCAAGTTCCCCGTTAACACACAGGACAGACTTCTGATGGTTACAGAGATTTAAGAAAACCAAAGCAAACCAAAACAGCTCAGGTCTGACAAATCCCTGAAGAAACTCGAAACAGTACAATTTACAGAGGAAAGCATTCACTGAACAAGAATTAATAGAGTCCCAAAGGGGCCATTTCTAAAAAGGTCTCTCAAGTCTTTTGTGCACAAACAGTAAGTTCAGCTAATGCACAAGGAACTTGAAGATCTCCAAAATAACGACAAAAATCCCACCCCAGATTTAAAGAAGATTCTTTAAGAAATACTGGTAAAAAAGTATTTAGTATAACACTGGTGTGATACTCCAGTTATTTGCTGTATGATCCAAGTAGTTATTCCATGCACTTTATTTCTTTTCTTATAGAACTTGGCCATAATTGACCTTTTCAATGTATGACTATGAAGCTTTGAAGAGCAGAGGAAAAGCTAGACACAGCACCTATTTGAAAGAAAAATTAAATGCCTAAACACCTTTGTAATGGAGAACAAAAAGGAGATATTTAGAGAAGCATTAAGGATTTTCTATCTATAAAAATATGAATGAGGAGGAAAAAGTTATTAGAGAAAAGAGTATTTTCATAAGCAGCTTCCTGTGTCTGGAATCATCTCCACAGTAAAATGACAGGAACATCAAGATTTAGATATTTAAAACCATATTAGGCAGCTCATACACCAAGGGACTGCAGGTCAAGCCTGCTCTTTCATCAAAGTGCATTAGATTATTCACCAGATTTTCCATCTCCAAATTCTAATTCCAAAATAAGCACAGATATTTTTCTAGCAGGAGCCTTTGGAAAACAAGCCCATAAAACAAACTCCATTGTATTTCTGGTGAATAGAAGTAAAATGAGAAGCAATTAGAATGATGATGAACTCATTAAGTCAAAACAGCTCCATAAATAAAAGCAAAGCAAGCCTAAAAAACCTGTCTGAGGCTTGTCCAGAGGACGGATGAATGAGCCTGGTTTAAGTCAAAATGAAATGTGAGAGTTGCAAACTGTCCATGGACTCGTTCTGAGTAACATCATGAAACTGGTACAGAAATTACCTCCAAGATAAATTAATTTTACCTCCATGAACAGGCTCTTGACAGCTCTGCAGACAGAAGGAAAGGCCCGGGAGTGGATTGCTGTTATTTTAAGAGCTCAGTGGTGAGTGACGTGTCCTTACCATCGCACTTTGTTGCAGGTCTGGGTGGCGCCGAGCGGGGACCCGGCCACCATGGGCACCTGGATGGGGCTGTGCTGCTTGTTCATGACCAGGTCCAGCTTCTCCTCCAGGGATTTACAGGTGGCCTCCAGTGCCAGCAGCTTGGCCTCGATGCTGTCCAACCTCAGGCATATTGTCTGATTGATGGAATACAGGAATGACTGCAGAGGGGAGGAGGCAGAAGAGGCTCATTTTAAACACGGATTTATCTCCGGCGACACACGCGGGAGGAAGCTCCGGATAAACGTGACTGGGAAACAATTCTAAAGGAATTAGCAGTGACAAAACTCAGCCCTGTTCAAACCTGATGACATCCAGGAGCATTTTAGCATTCTCAGATTCATCCAGATCTTTATTTGGAAGCCAAAAGCACACGAGCCAAAAGCATTTTCACCTAAGCACTTTGCAGGGATGATTTCATACACCACAAAATCATTTCCAGTGATGTGCCAAAGCCTTCCATTCCACATGTGAAAACAGAAGGATTATAAATCTATGAATGCATCCTCCTGGATGAAGTTAACTTAAATTTTTTGCCTGTCCAAACATATAAATTCAGATGATTGCAGTGGAAAGTGTATCAACACAAATAACCTTTGAGACAATTAAAGCCGCTCACTTCGGTTTTCTCCTCAACAGCAAATCAAGGAAAGCAAATAAATAAAATCTGTTTTCCTATGCAATCTTTTGTAAAAGAAAACATATTCTGCTCGGGTTCTCTTGGGAAAACAGGCCCTTGAAGGGAAAAGTTATATACAGTGTGCTTTGCAAGCAGCAGCTGTGCCATCTTGTGGCCCTGCACTCACTGAACACCCCAAACCACGCTGGCTCACGGAGCTGCTGCTCCTTCAACAGATTCCATGAACATCCCAAAAACACAGAATTACACACGATTTAATGTGAGTGGCATAAAATATTAGTCGTAAACTTATGCTCCAAGACCAAAATCAACCTTAAAGCAAACTAGTGAGAACAGCAGGGAAGTTCTGAGCTACTGAGCCTGAACCAAATATGAATTGTCTGTTAGGAGAATGTTGGTGGCTTCAAATAGTAATTTAAAACACACTGAAAGTATCTACAAATTGTAACATAAATACATGGTCAAGTTTTATCTTTTCAGTCAACTTCACTGCCTTCATCACAAAATGCACCAATAGTGATGTTTGAGTCACTGGAATTATTCAGATATTTTATATTCCATATAAAATTCTTTGTCTGGACAATCATCCCCATTTTAAAATTCACGCATAAAAATGAACAAGCACTTACAAGAAGGCCATGAATAATTCCATCAGTCTGTATAAACAATTTATTTTACATCCTTTTAACATATTTTCCTAAGAAAGTGAACTTAATTGGTATAAGAAATGACACCAAAGGCACTGTCACCTTGATGGAGGGGTCCTGGCAGTTGATCTCGATGCGCTGACGTTTCAGAGCAGGTTCCACGTCATCATCTGCCACCTCATGGTTCTCCAGCACAACTGCAAAGAGAAAGGAGCATTGCCAGAGCTCACAAGGCAAGAGCACAAGACTCAAATACAGTAGAAGGAGAAAACAAAAGAATGTAAAATATATCTAATTAACATACTGTAGGGATTCTCTTACATTTACTTGGTTTTTCTCTTAAATATCTGACAATGGGGATCTGACCAGGTTTGTTCCTGTACCAGACTGAGCAAGGACTTGTCAAAGGTTGTCCACACCCCACCAGACAATCCTGAACCCTAAGTCATCAGCAAGGCAGGCACAGGCTTCTCCTCCAAATATTTGGGAACGTTTCTGAAGGAACTTTTTCATTTTGTATCAGAAAAGCAGTTTTTCGGTCTGTGTTTCTGTTTTCCACAGCTGCAGTTACTGTTCTTTCACTCACTTGCAATGGCCACAAAGGATCAAGATCTAGAGCTGATCTCAATATATTTTTGCTTAGCAGGTCAAGTTCTAAGCAAGGGAGATCACAATATTTGCTTTCAGAAGTGTTTTTAAATTCTACTGTACAAAGAATTTTAATAATGTAGGAGAGAAACTATTTTACCAGTAAAAGAGCAATTCCTAATAGATGGGTGACAGCTCCCATCTGAGGGACAGGAAAAAACCAAGACTGCAGGAGGTCATATTTCATTCAGTTTTTGGGACTAATCTATCCCTGCAGAAAAAGAAGCCCCAGGAAATAAAGCGTTTAAAAGGAAAGCAAAATAAATCAAATAATCTCATCTGAAGGGTTTGAACATACACAAATGAAGCTACTGAAAATGTGGGATGTGGTCTTTAGAAGCCCTTTTGGGAAAAAAAATCTGCAGCAGTGGTTTGTATTTCTAAGTAAAGCCCAGCAGTGATTTCCACCTCGTTGAGGGCACAGCTGTAAACGGTACCTGGGTCATCTGGATTCAGGTCCTCAACTGCAATTTGAACAACATCTGACAAATCCTGCTCTGACATCATTCAGAACCAGCAGCAGATCCCTCACACACCACTGCAGGTCCCCAAGGCAGGAATTGGACAAGTCATGCAATCCTGGAAAACAGCAGCAGGGAGAGTGTTAATACAGACACAGCGACACCGACTTGATTTTTCATTCTCCTGCTATAAAAGGAGATTCCCAAAGAAATGACCAACCTACAAAGTGATTATCCAGTGGCATCCATGGATATTTTACTTGGCCACCTCAAAGAACAAAGCACTGCATGACCTGCAGCACCTCCAGGAGGATATCCTGCTTTATCAGGACTGAGCTCAAGCTTTCCTTGCTGATCCACCTTTCTGCACTTTCCCAATGGATAAAGAGAACATGCAGGTTCAGACTTGGCAGCTCATTAGTGCAATATCCAAAATGAAATGTTCTCTTTTAAATTGATTTTTTTTTTCCTTTTAGAAGGTCTAAGAACATGCAAGACCATTCCTGGACCGCAAAGTTTTAGCTTATGAATTATTACTTAGTTCTCAGAAGTGATCAGATCTTAGTCTTAATGTCACAAAAGCACAAGAAGCTCCCAAGCCCCTTTAGATTTGCAGTTACTGCACATTCACATGCAAATCTTTACAGGCCTCTAAAATCTTCCTAAATTCACTGAGAACAAGGAGTTTCTCACAGCTAATTAAACTAGACCTGAAGCAAAACTTGACCTTTTTTCTTGAGTATGAACTTGCCTGGTTTTTCTACAGCTCAACTCTGATTAATCCATTTTCAGAATATGGTCCTGCTTTTAAAGCCAAAATATTTCTCAGGCCTGCTCCATTGGAATTCTCTGTCATGGTTATTTATGAGTGTTTTAAGAGAAACCTTCAGCCTGTAAAATTGAATTTAAATCACTGGAATCACTCATATCTGTGCCTTCCCACAGTTTATGAAGGGATGGACAAGGAATACCAAGAGACCAGTGGATTTTTTTCCCTTTTTAACTTGAAATAAAAAACACTGGAGGTAATTTGAGGTTTACCAATGGAAATGATAATTCATCCCTTAACGCTGACACAGATTTTCCTCTTCCACTTGAGCACACGAAATCCATTAAGCCAGACAGGTGGAGGATAAATTTTTAGGAGAAGAATCCTGAGCAAGCCCATCTCAAGAGACTCCAAAGTGTTCACTCAAGAACACTTCCAGCACTGCCAATATTGAGTCATTTGAAATTCTGCTCGTGGTGAAAACTCTTGGGCCAGCACAGACTGTGGCAGGACTCCCAAAAAATCCCTGGCAATCCAGTTGTGCACATGGATGCCATTTTGGCAAATTCCATTTGCCATTTCTGAGAAATCCTGGTGCCCAGCCAGGCTGGACAGAACAAAGCAGCTGGCTCCTCGTGTCACACACTGCCTGGAATAGTGAGAACCCCTCAACCCGAGGGAAGACAGCCACTAAAAAAGGACAAACTAGAAGAAAACCCAACTGTTAAACACTTTGTTATGTACAGGATTCAAGATTTCACTGGTGTGCTGCATTTAAATCAGTCACAGCTACAAATATGTCAGGATTTTTCAAAGCATTCTGAAGGTGTGGCAATGGTTTTGTTTAAATTGACTTCTTAAAACTTCATGTGCTGCACATATTTATCATGGAATATCCTGAGTTTGAAGGGACCCACAAGGATTAAAGTTCAACTCCTGGCCCTGCACAGGATACCCCAAGAATTAGACCACGTGGCTTCAAAATTAATTATAAAAAAATCACTCTATTAAACCTTTTTTCGACACAAACATAAAATAATTTCACACTTCCAACACCTGTTCTCCCCCTCTCAAGGGTCACAGTCTGAAACTGTTCAACCTCACCAGAAATACCAAAATACTCTGTCCCAGAGCCCTGAAAAAAGGGAACAACCACCAAACTACAACTGGAACGGTTATGACACACATAGCAATGCATCTTCATCAAAATTTATTGCCATTTAAACAAATTCAGTACAATTTAACTAAATCAGAGACATCTTGTAGCCATCAGCCACCTCCTGATGGACACAACCCTGCCTTCTCAACAGGCAGAACCAAATTCCCTTGTGCTGTCACAGTGAGCTCCTGGATCACAACATGAGGGAAAAACAAATAAATTTGGTATCAACGCTGGATGTGTGGATTAGAAAAGCAGTGTCCAAGGAAACTGCAACCACAGCAGTTATCACACCCTGAATAAAATACCCCTCTTCCAAATTCACAATTTGAATTTATAGTAGTGAATTTTAGCAGCGGGCTGACCTTGCTTTCGGAACCAAGGGTAAAAGCCAGATAAAATTTAACAGGATGAGAGTTAGATCAGTTTATCAGCTGCAAAAAGCTTCAGTTAACAAATTCAGAATAACTTTCCCAACACAGTTTCCATATATTTAGTCAGTGAAGTATTTACCAGCATTTCTCCACGTAAAACATCTCTTTTCTTGAAATTTGCTCTATATTCCCTTTTCTTTTTTCTGGCTGAAGCTCTAGTGCCTATTAATTCTAAATTAAGTATATGTACATTGGCACTGAGCTGCCAGTGCTGAACCATTACCTGGGACAAATATTAAGTTATAAAACAGAAATATTAGCAGAAAGCTGGGAAGCTGAGGATAAACTACACCAGGGACACGGAACGTGCCCGCTCTTCCTCCCACAGCCGGCATGTGGAAGTTGGATCAACAGAGAGATATTTTATAGTCAATTATCTTATCTGGGGGAGGGTATGGGAGGCAGGTTCTCCCAAGGAATGGAAAATACCCCATTAATCCACTGGCTATGGAGGCCTTGGCCAGTCAAGCTCACAGTGAGCCAGCCGAGCGCTTCAGGTGGATCTACAGCGACCTCAGTGCTTCCCCCGGGGGCTCTGGGGTTGGAAGAGGCTCCTTCGACCCTCACCCAATGAAAACACCAAAAGCAGGTTATGGTGTGAACTGGAGGGGTTTCTTTCCACCTCCAGTCCCACTCCAGCCCTGGGTGCCTTCAGACTGGACAGGTTGGATCCACGGGCCTAGGCCAATGTCAGGAGGGCAGCAAGGGGACATGCTGGGCCCTGTCCTTGGGGCACAACAAGGGAACGCTCCAGGCTTGGGGAAAAGCGGTTGAAATGCTGGGAAAGGCCCTGGGGGTGCTGGTGACAGAGTGAGCAGGAGCCCAGGTGATCTAGAAGGCCAATGGCACCTGGATTGTACCAGCCATGGTGTGGCCACAGGGTCAGGGCTGTGGCTGTCCCTCTGTGCTGGCACTGCTGAGGCACCTCAGGTGCTCTGTCCAGGTCTGGGCCCTTTCAAGACAGACACGGATGGGCTGGAGCGTGTCCAGGGAAGGGAACGGAGCTGGGGAAGGGTCTGGAGCACCAGGAGCAGCTGAGGGAGCTGGGGGGGCTCAGCCTGGAGAAAAGGAGGCTCAGGGGGGACCTTCTGACTCTGCAACTCCCTGACAGGAGGGGGGAGCCAGGTGGGGGTCGGGCTCTGCCCCCAGGGAACAAAGGACAGGATGAGGGGAAACGGCCTCCAGCTGTGCCAGGGGAGGTTCAGGTTGGACATCAGGAGGAATTTCTCCATGGAAAGGCCTGTCAGGCATTGGCAGGGTCTGCCCAGGGAGGTGGGAGCATCCCCATCCCTGAAGGTGTCCAAGGAAGGCCTGGACGTGGCACTCAGTGCTCTGGGCTGGGTGACAAGGTGGGGATCAGGCACAGGTTGGACTCGATGATCCTGGAGCACTTTCCCACCCTCAGTGATTCTGGGATTCTGTGAAATCTCAGTAACCCCTCAAACCTCTGGCATCACTCAGCCCATTCCCAGAGCAGCTCTTTCACTGTTCCCCTGTCCCCACCCCAGGCCAGACCCTACTTTGGTCCCCTCCCCTAATAAACCCACCAGACCCCATTCCTGTGGGATAAATAACACAAAGTTAAAATTATCTCATGTTGCCTCAAAAAGCAGAGCAAAAAGCTTAAATCCTTCCCTACAACCACTTGCTTGAAGGTGGCTCCGGTACTGGAACACTCAGAAAAACTCATCACAGACAACTAAAGGTATAAATCTAATGCAGATTAGATAAATTGCACTAAATATCTGCCAATACTCTTACTCAGAATTGATACACTTAACACAGAATTAAATCAGCCTTTGTTTAATTAAGTAAATTAATATTTGTAAGCAACTAAATTAAATTCACCTGAATTCCAGATTAGCTTTTCCACACACAAGTTTAATTTAATTTAATTAATCTATTTTAAAACAGTAATTCAGAATAATTCTTCTGAGCAGTGCCTTGTAAACAAACCTATTTACTGCAATATCTGATGGCTTTACAAAGTCCTGGGGCAGCATTCCAAAGTGGATAATCAAAATCATCCAATGCCTTGTTAACACAGAAAAACATGCACAAAACACAAATCTTGTCTCTCATACTAATTAGGGAGGGTAAACATTAAAAAACTACATTTTTTCCAAAGCTTTGGTCTATTTGGAGTGTTTCTTGGATTTCTCTTATGGAGCAGCTGATCATTTTCCTGGATAACATTTCTCAGTGCTATTGATAAATAAACAAACTTCTGTCATACTCCGACAATGCCAATATCTGGTGCTGGTTGTGTAAGAAAAGGTTAAATCAGTTAAAGCCAATTTTCAAACATGTCAGTTCTGTTTGGGCTGGAAGGGACCTTAAACATCATTGAGTTCTAATCCCCTGCCATGGGCAGGGACACCTTCCACTAGCCCAGGTTGATCCAAGCCCCGTCCAGCCTGGCCTTGGACACTTCCAGGGATGAGGCAGCCACAGCTTCTCTGGGCAACCTGTGGCAGGGCCTCCCCACCCTCACAGGGAAGGATTTCTTCCCAATATCCCATCTAAGCCTGCCCTCTGGCAGTGGAAAACTATTCCCCTTGAATGAATTTATCCAGTGACTTTAGCCCAGCAGCCCATTTTTCTGAGCCCAATATATATTGTGCATGGGACAAAGTTCCTTATCCTCCAAGAACTCTGATTTACTGACACTTTAAAAAGTTTCCCAAAGCAGGTGACTGTGAAGCCAAGCCCAGTGATGGGAATATATTCAACACATGGCAGTGGATTAGTGCTCTGTGAGAAGTGAGGAAGTGAAATGACCTTATGCCATAAAGGAATTCCAGTGTAAAGACCATCCACCCTCTGACAGGGCAGATCCAGAGGACTAAACACTCATTAACTTTATTTAAGTCAGCCCAGCTTCCCTGAGGTCTCATCCCTGCAGGGAACCAACCCAAGGGGCCTCCGAGCTTTAAGTCTCTGTGTAAGGAAAAATCCCCAGCTCAGTTACATCCACTCGGGAAACAAACCATGGAATCCCAGCAAAAAGCACCCCAAGGACAGGACAAAATTGTTCAGGTGAAGGTCTGCCTGAAGAACAACCCCCTGGTGAGGCTCTAACCTGGACATGGGTCTGCTCTGACCACCCAGTGGGGTCTTCAGAGGAACCACCTCCATGAGCAGACCCAGCAACAGAACTGGGAATGTTGGGATAATCTGAAGTTATTCCTGAGTGTTACATGGCTCAGAACCCAACAAGGCTCTGTTAGTCTTGCTCTGTCACTGGCAACAATTAAATAACCCAAAGCCTGGCTTTTCCCCCAGCATAAAGTCACTTGGGTTGGCAGCTGGAATGGAGCCCTCCTACACTAATTCCTGATTCCCAAAAAACCCACACCAGTGCAAATGTTACTGTAACAAAGGAGGAATAACGGGATAAAAAGCAACAATTTAAGAGCATTGCAAATACAAGAGCTACCAGCCTCCCTTGTGCCCCAGCTCTCTGAAGAGAAGCTCCTTTTTCTGGGAGGTTGAAAATCAGTGTTTAGGGGGGAAGAGATCAGATTTACATTTCTTTATGACTACCAAAAACTACAAAGGAGAATTATCTTCCTTAGCATCTGTTTAGCTTTCATCCTTATGCTCAATCCACCTTAAAGAGCAAGTAAAAACAGTTTCAAATTTCACAGTAAAACTGCACAAGCATTTCAGTTTAACAGTTTAAAAATGAGTGCAACAAAATAAAAGCAGCTTTGGTTCAGCCAAAGATCAGAAAAAAATATCTGTTCTCCCCAAACATTCCTTATCTGGGAAAGCCCAGACAACAGCCACAACATCCTGGAGATGGATATATAAAATAAATCTCACTCCCAGGGATACTGAGCTCATGGACTCCAGTGCAAGTCCTTAAATTCAGAGAGCAAACCAAGAACTGGAATGGGTGCTCCAGGAGCAAAGGAGCTGGAGACTTTTGGGGGTACAAAACCTCAGAGGGAGGCAGAAATTCTCAAGTATTACCAGGACAGCTCACATCATTAGTATTGTTTTACTGCTTTGCTTTTAGAAATATTCAGCTTTTTAGGCCTTTTTTTTTTTTTTTCCATTCCACCTGGTACAAGCTGCTGTTTTGCTTGGATGCCTTTTCCCAACTCTTCTACCACGCTGCCATTGGCCACAATCCCAACACAACATACAACAAGCACTCCAGGAATACATTGCCCTGCTTCCCAGTGTCCTCCCAGGCGCTGGACACGCTCTGGCACAAGGAATGTCAGTGGGTGGTCACACACCAGCAACTCCAGCCCGAATTCCCTGTGGATCTTGGACAAACACTCCTGCTGCTGTCACGTGCCAACACCTGCACTGCCACAGCTTGGATGGAATTATTCCCAAGGGAGCTGGGAAGGATTTGTTCACACCTGTTGCAGCTGCGCTTTCAGGTGCCTGGACATGGAGAGAGGGCTGAATTTAATTTCACAGCCATTTAACCCCGGTGAACTCCACGAGCCCAGCCCAGGGACTGGATCTAAGTGTTTCCAGACTGGGGGCCTTCAGGCAGAGCTCAGCTCTCACCATCCTGCTGGAATTAGTCCAGACACAGGTCCTTCACTCCGGGCACAATTTGTACAATTTGCTGGAAAACAACAAATAAGAGACAAGACCTGCCCAGACAGCAAAGTCTGTCCTGTTGTTTTCTTGGTTTCATCCACTAGATGGAGAATTTCATTGATAACAGCTCCAAAACACCTGCAACTGCTTAAGGGGGAGGGTGAGGCTGGATATCAGGAAAAGGTTCTTCCCTCAGGGGGTGGTTGTTCACTGACCAGGCTGCCCAGGGCAGTGGTCACAGTCCCAAGGCTGCCAGAGCTCAAGGAGTGTTTGAACAACACTCTCAGGGACAGGGTGGAATTTTTGGGGTGTCCTGGGCATGGCCAGGAGTTGGACTTGATGATCCCTGTGGGTCCCTTCCAACTCAGGGTATTCCACAATTCCATGAAATTCAAAGACTTTTCAGAATTAGTTTCATATTGTTTATATAAAACTATTTTTCTGTTTCCCCTCATCCTGTCCCTTGTTCCCTGGGAGCAGAGCTTGACCCCCACCTTGCCTCACAGTTTTTCATTTTCTGATCCTGCTTTGTCATTCCCCCTCCCTCTAGTTAAAAAAACACAAACTAAATTCAGCTTTAAACTTACAACATTATAAATTCCCAGGATATCAGAGGTTGGTTGGCACATGTAACACACTTGTGCCTGAGAAGCAGGGACACGAAGGGTGAATAACTCCCCAGTTGCCAGGAATTCCCTCCATTCCTTTCCACCATAAAACACAGGCTCCGATTTTCAGAGGAAAACTTGAATTTCATGTATTTTTCCCTTAAGTGCTCTAAGTCAGGAGTTACAAACAGGAAACAAGATAAAATGATTTTGTTCAACAGACAACATTACAAATTACTTTATTCAAGTCCCAAAGGCAAAGGATGTGACGAAGTTAAACCTTCTGTGTATTTTACAGTCCAACAACTGGGAGGGAAAACTCAGCACTGAACAGCAGCTTTAAAAACTTAAAACTGCAAGGAAACAAGTGTTTGATGTGACTTTGAAGACAGTTGATTCTTTTTATTTTTACTTGGGGGAAAGAAAAGATTAGTCTTTAAATAAATATGAAAAATTAAAAAAAAAAAACAAACAGAAAATAAAGTGACTTCAATTACTGTTAATCACTAAGTATCAAGTTTCAAACTAAAGGAAATAAGTCTGTGACCAAAATTTTATTGGCAAAGTTTCATCTACAAAGATCTTTTGTGGTTCTCATTCTAATCTTTTCTCAATCCCAGCAACTCCAATCCAAGGATTTCTCCAACGAAATAAGAGGAAAATCGTTCACATTCTGACAAAATGAAACCACGTGTTGCTCCTGCACAAATGGTGTTTTACCAATTTAGGGAAAAGCTCAAGAGACACCTCAAGTCCCTGCAAATAGGCACCTCTTCCCAGAATTCCCACGGGTCTGAATCCCAGGGACAGCCCAACTCCTTGCAAAGTCAAAGCAAATCTGTAATTAGAGCTCCTGGTGACAGGAGCTGGGAGTCAAAGCTCATCTTTCCTCTCCTCATCACCCCAAAACTCCAGAACAGGGATGCTGTCCCTGTTAAAACCAGCACAGGCAGGAAAGGAGCCTTTTCCAAACATATTTAGTGGAACAAGTGCTGGTGGAGCCCCTGCAGCTGTGGATCTTGAGAATTAGTACCACACTTAATGGTATTACTCAATTATTCTGGGTGGTTATTAATTAATTAGCCTTTAAAAAGCCTTCCTTAACACCTGGAACCACAAAACTGACACGTGGCTGGGTAATGGAAAGGATAAAGCCAGTTACTGTAAAAGAGATGAGAAATTAAACAAACAAACAAACAAACAAAATTTATAAAGTGTTTTCATCCTCTGAAGGAGACAAAATGTTTCCAAAATCCAACCTCAATGGTTTTACTGTCTCAATAAATACATAATCTTTCTTCCTAAGAGCTGGTAGTGAAAACTGAACTCCTGCCAAGACGTCATTTAATGATGGGAAAAGGTACTCACAGTATTAGAATTAAATCCCTCATATTCTGGTCCATGTCTAAGAACATCTATTTTATATATATATATATATACATACTTATATACATACTTATATACATATAACTACTTTCTAATAGAGAAAACCCAGTTTCAAGAGTCACTTGAAATTCAGTGACTACACTACAAAATTCAGAGAGATGCACTTTTTTGCTTGATATTTTAAAATCTTAATTTAAACATCCAAAATTTCTGCTTTTTGAAAACCTGCCATGGACAGGGCACTACACCTCATAGAGAAGGCAAAAAAGTAGCAAAAAAAAGCACCCAATTCAATTTAGTAACAAGTTAAAGCTGCTTCCACTGTAGCAATCACTCAGTTACTAATAACTCTTGTTTACTTCAAAAAATCTTCCCTGGAGAGCTCCAAAAATAAACTCATCCATAAACTGTCCATGCCATAGCAGGATAAAATGACTATATTTGGTGAACTACACAGCTTCCCACTGTGCAAGGATTTAAAAATAAAACAAAACAAAAAAAAAGGCAACACTTGAATTGCAAATAAGGGCAAAGGGAAGACCGACTGTGTGCTCAGAGAATGCTGGAATGGGTTGGGTTGGAAGGCACCTGGAAGACCATCCAGGTCCATCCCCTGTACATTCCACTAGCCCAGTTTGCTCCAACCTGGCCTTGGACACTACCATGGATGGGGCAGCCACAGCTTCTCTGGACAACCTGTGTCAGGGCCTTCCCACCCTCACAGGGAGGAACTTCTTCCCAAAATCCCACCTAACCCTACTCTCTTTAGTCGAACAGTTCACTGGGATGAAGAGAGTAGAAAACCACCACCCTGATATGATGTGAAAACGCCCCTCTCGCACTGCATGAGCACACACCAAGGCACGGCGGTTTTCCCCCTGCTGAGAGGTGTGAGGGATCCCAGGGATGCTCCCTGCCCCATGACCGCTCCGGAGCAGCGGCAGCACCGAGCGCGTCCTGCCCCGGGAGAAGGGATGGATGAGCGCTGCCATCCTGTCCCATCCCATCCCCTCCCAACCCCAACCTGCAGCGCCGGCTCCGACCTGCCCGTGCCCCAAACACCCCCGGGGGGACACCGACCCCAGCCCTGACCCCACGAGGGGTGACCCACAGCCCCGGGGAAGGGACTTTCTAGATCATTTAATTCTAATCCCCTGCCACGGGCAGGGACACCTTCCACTAGACCAGGCTGCTCCAGTCCCGGTCCGACCCGGCCTCGGACACTTCCAGGGCTGGGGCAGCCGCAGCTCCTCTGGGCACCCTGTGCCCGGGCCGTGCGAAGGGTTTCCCCCCGGTACCAAACCGCGGTCGGCGGGGGAGCCGTGGGGGAGGCGGGGGTGCGCGCGGCCCCCCCCGCCTCGGCCGCTCCCTCCCCGCCGGGCTCGCGGCCCGGGGGGCGCGGCGGGGGCGCGGTGCGTGTGCCGGGCTGTGCGGCGGGTGCGGCCGTGCGGGGCCGAGCGGGGCCGTGGGGCGGCGCGGGGCGCGGAGCCGCCCGCCCGCGGGGGCGCCGCGTTACCGTGTGAGGCGGGCGCCGAGTTCTCGTGGTGTTTTGTGCGGCGGCTGCGATAATGGCGTCCTTCCTCGCGAGAGATCCGCCGCGCTGCCCGCGCCGCGCACGCGCCGCGCCCGCGCGCCGGGCGCATCGCCTCTCCCCCCACCCCGCCCTGCGCCGCCGAGGCCGCCGCCAGGGGCAGGACCGGACTACAAATCCCAGAGGGCACCGCGCGCGCCCCCGCAGGAGCACGCCGGGACCTGTAGTACGCGCGGGGGGCGCGGGGCGTGCCGGGAAGTGTAGTCACGGCATCACGGAACCGGGGAGTCACTGAGGTTGGAAAAGGGCTACGGGATAAGCGAGTCCAAGCTGTGACCGATCTCCACCTTGTCACCCAGCCCAGAGCACTGAGAGCCACGTCCAGGACTTCCTTGGACACCTCCAGGGATGGGGATGCCCCACCACTGCCCTGGGCAGACCCTTCCAAGGCCTAACAGGCCTTTCCAGGAACAAATGCCTCCTAATGTCCAACCTGAACATCCCCTGGCACAGCTTGAGGCCGTTTCTCCTCATCCTGTCCCTTGTTCCCTGGGAGCAGAGCCCGACCCCCACCTGGCTCCCCCCTCCTGTCAGGGAGTTGCAGAGTCAGAAGGTCCCCCCCGAGCCTCCTTTTCTCCAGGCTGAGCCCCCACCCCAGCTCTCTCTGAGCTACTCCTGATGCTTCAGACCCTTCCCCAGCTCCTTTCCCTTCCCTGGACACGCTCCAGCCCATCCGTGTCTTTCCTGAAGTCCACACCTCACTCACCACCCCACGCCCTCACCCACACAACAGCCCCCTCACCCCGTGCCCACCCTGAGCACACACAGAGCCCTGAGGGTTCCACAGGACCCCCTGGCTCAGAGGGACCCCCCTGTGCTCCCCAGGACATTTCAGACAACACAGCCCAGTGCTGCGTGCACTGATCCCACAGCCTGCGATCACACCCTGCTGTTCCTCCTCCAACAGTGTCTCAGGACCACTGCAAACCCCATTATTCCATGTGTTTTTTACTGCTTCCAGACCTGCCACAGCCCTTGGCCAGCAAGCCATCGCTCAGCAGATCAAAGTGCATCTGCACCTCCAAAGCCACTCACACACATTCCCATCCCCTACTCCTTTCTCTGCTCCTTCCATCAAATTCCTCCCTGCTGCCACAGCTCCTGAGCACCTGAAATGGGATGAGCTGGGTGAGAGCTGTCATGTTAAAGAGGATAATGTCCCCATGCTCGGAGCACAGCTGAGGGGAGGTAGCGAGTGGGAATTTGCTAAATGACCTCAGCAGCCTGATCCTGCTGCTGCTCTGCTCCTGCGTGTGCTGTGGGAACAGAAGGGCAGGGAAGGATAAAAATACACAAAAGCACAAAAAAGAAGCATGGTGGGAGTATGCAAGTGGCTCTGAAAGAAGACAGAGATTAGACTGGTTTATATCTTTATATGTCACAGTATTGCCCAATAAAGACCATCAGCATACTTCATTTTTCAGCTTCGGTAGTGACTTTCAGACTTTTGTATAAAAATATTCCTCAAATAAGATGCTGAATCCACTCTGGTTGAGCTGTAACTGGTTATCCTACAGATACAACTCCAGACCTAATGGGGCTGTTCCCTGGGTCGAAACGCTGTTCTCAGGTGCTGTAGCTTTGTTTAAAAGTGCTTCAGTCTCTTCTCAAGTCAGTTTTCAATATTAAAGAATTTTCATGAGCCTGGGAATTAACTGGTGTGTCAGGAAAAGCCTTGCTCCTGCATCCAGATTTGTAACTGCTCAGCTGAGTCTGTTGATTTACTTACTGTGTTCTCTCCCTTCACAAGCAGATTAGGCAGTTCAAAGGTTAAACTACTTATAAATGACTTTTCACACAGGATTATTTCACACTTTGCTGCAGGAATTTGCCCTGTGGCAGTTTTGCTGAAGAGCTGCTGCTGAACTCAAGCAATTGCCAGGTCCCAGCTTGGAAAACAGGGATAGAAATATCAGTGTTCTACCTGGCGTGGGAAGCTGCTGGTGAAAGCCTTTGTCATCCTAAACCAGCCTGATATAAAAGCTGTCCTGATTTCTTATCCCCTCCCAGAGATTATTTTCTCTTGTTCTGTAGAGGGTGTGAGATCCTGCTCCTCTGCAGAGCCAGGGAATCATTTCTCAACACAAACAGAAAAACTAGGATTGTCATAAACCAATTATAGTATTTATCTAAAGAGGTCAATTTAACTGGAAACACTGGCGGGATCCAACTGATCTCTGCAACTTTGATCAGAGATAACAGCACAATAAAACAATAATATAAAAACTTATCACCAAGAAAGGCTGCAGCACCTTGTGCAAGGAAGGAAATCCACTCTGATCCAGCAATCCACAATTAACTTACCCCTTGTTTTTCCCTCATTAGCACAGCAATGATTTTGGATTTTTTTCCCTATCATTTTCCCAAAGCAGGGGGTGTTTCCTTTTAAAATTATGAATTACACCAATAAATCATGTTAAGACTCCATTATCACAGCCTATCCCTTGTTCCATTGAGATGGACACAGCCAGACCTGACTAACACTTCAGAAAGTCTGACTGCAAAACTGGGGAAACAGCAGGAGAAAGAGGATCGTTCTGTTCCCAACCTCCAGTGGAGACCAACATTGTGCTTAATCAGAAGGCCCAGATTTGGCTTTCAGTCTTTAATTCACATGAACACATGAATGACTGAGCTCAGGAGAATTGTTTTCTGTGCTTCACAATCTCCTGAGCTTTAGGAGCTTTCAAAAATTGAGCTCACCTGGCTCTTTCTGCAATAATTGAATGAAATTCGGTATAACCCCTGTTCAGTGAACCGAGGGCTTCGCTTCACCATGGGATAAGAGTCTGTCCATGAGCAAACACCAGCAAGAAGCTGATACACTGGAAGTTATATTCTGATTTAAACCATGGTAATTGCTCAAGTGCCTCCATCAAATCCTTTCTTATTTTCTTTCCCCCATATAAAAATAACTGAAAACTTCAGAGTGTAATATATCAATTTAGTTTCTTAATTTTGTAGAAGAAAATATATCCTGTTGCCCTGTTATCTTGTGTTCCCACATAAAACAAGGTATTTCTTGTTGGTTTATTTCCTCATCTTTTTCATCCTCTTTTTTTTTTTCTAGTCTCTCTCTTGCATTTTATTTCTGTGCTACCATTTCTCTGTCATGTTATGAAGAATCATTTGGTTCCAGGAAATATCCAGCTTATTTTACCCTTGTATCAGCATCCATTTACCATTGTTTTCTGAGGAAGTTGCTGCTTTCACATGTTTTGTGTGGATCAGGAGAGATTGGTATCTCCCATTCATTGGTTTCCTTTTTTTTTTGTTAGGAAAAAAAACCTTCCATAGCATCAAAGGTAAAAAATTAACACACTGTGCACACAATTTTGCAGCTGCAGCAGCAGCAGGAAAACAAAGGTTGCCAAACAAAGCATTTGTTTAAACAAGTGACAGGCATTCCTAATTATCCTCACTGCTGAGCAAGAGGATACAGGAACAAAGGGATGAAGAACACACAAGATGTGAGCAGGGCACAGAAGTAACTCCAGAGGATTTGCTGTAAGAACTCTATAGGAATAATTTTGGTTCCTATGGATAAAATCCTCAACCACACCCTGTGCTGTTAAAAGCAAAAAGAGTACTTGAAGTTCCTCTGTTTATTCAGCTTTTATTTGAGTTTATTAATTTTCTGTACATCTCTTGTAACTGGAGAGGGACACAAACCCAGCCTGGTGAACACAGCAGGTCCTATATTGGGTCAGTGATTCTTAACGAAAAGTTACATAAAATGTATTTTTAAAACAAGACAATATTAATATTATTTGTAAATGTGTTGTAGAAGCACATGAAGAGCAACTGAGGGAGCTGGGGGGGCTCAGCCTGGAGAAAAGGAGGCTCGGGGGGGACCTTCTCCCTCTCTGCAGCTCCCTGACAGGAGAGGGGAGCCAGGTGGGGGTCGGACTCTGCTCCCAGGGAACAAGGGACAGGATGAGGGAAAATGGCCTCAAAAAGCTGTGCCAGGGGAGGTTCAGGTTGGACATCAAGAGGAATTTCTCCATGGAAAGGCCTGTCAGGCATTGGCAGGGTCTGCCCAGGGAGGTGGGGGAGTCCCCACCCCTGGAGGTGTCCAAGGAATGACTGGACATGGCACTCAGTGCTCTGGGCTGGGTGACAAGGTGGAGATTGGTCACAGGTTGGACTCGACCTCAGAGATCTTTTCCAACCTCAGTGATTCTGTGATTTCTCCTTTTATCAACAGAAACTTCTCTGCTGTTGAAATCTTGTGAGTATTCCTCCTCCAAGTACAGGTCACTTATTTTTCAGACACCACATCCATTTCTAGTCCTCTCAGAATTGTTCTTTGATTTATAACAGAAAAAGGTCAGGATCAAGTGGGTTTTGCTCCTGAACCTACTTCACCTATCTCTGT